AACTTTCCACGCGTATCAATCAAAGCTATTCTATCGACAAGAAGATTTAATTGGCTTTATTGAACGGATGAATGGACGTTTAGAGAGGGAGGCGAACGGATCGGTACGTTCGATCCTAAATGATACAGGACTCGTTTACGATTCGTAGATTGCTCGTTTTAACGAGAATAGAACTAATAAGCTCTACTTCCATAACTGGTTGCTCCTTGTCAATGTTGTAAATCTTATCGTGACTATAAGGGATAAGTCTTCGAGTGCTTTTTTTTTCTCAACTCGAATCGAAACTTGTTTCTCTTTGTACAGGGGAAAAAAAAGATAATTAAACAAAATTACGGCTCTCTTTAATAAACGCGTGCAGTAAAATTATTATCCAGATGTTTGGAAATTTCTGGAAAAGTCAGGTAGCCTGACCCCCATCCATTTCCTTTACTCCACATACTATAGGTAGGGTTCTAACAAAATGTCTTGACCTTCGCATAAAAGGAACGACATCTTTAACCCCTTCTACAGTCTCTTTTCATCCGAATCTCGCTTTCGTTTCGACGACAAACAAAAAAGATTTTCACTTTTGAAAAAAATTTACCGACAAGTTGAATTCTTTTATATTTCGCTGGAAACCATGGAAACTTCTTTACAATGAAAGAGATACAATTGTGCTAAGAATGACCTATAGAATGGTGCATTAATGAAAAAAAGGAACTTGGAAATAACGACAGTGTGAAAATTTGGACAATGTTTTTTTTTATAAGACTTATTTTTGGGCGTGAACTACCATTAATCGTCGACACCATTGAACAGATTTCTCCAAAGAATCGTAAAACGTCCAGAAAAAGAGTAGTTTCTCTTCTCAAACAAAAATTTGGGATTTTGAATAAAAATTTATTCAGAAGAAAATTTATTCATTCTTAAAATTGTATAAAAATTATCCAAACGAATAGAAAGATTTGTAAAGAAGAATTGATGTAACAATTTAATGTCGAAGAGTTTTAGAAAAAAATGTTTAAACGACTATTTATTTATCAATTTCTATCAATATGATAATTCTTAATATAAATATGTTGTTAATAACATTATTCAAGAAATGTCAATAATACAAATAAGGAGAGAGAGAGAGAAAGAATCATATTTTAATGAATCATAGTATGTCGTTTCATTATAATTCCTAATTTTGAAATCACAACTAGAAATGTTCTTACACAGCATCTGGAGCTTTTTGTACTAACTGTGCTGATTTTATTAAAATTTTGCAAGTCATAAATCATAAGTTACGAATCCCGATAAATTCTTATATAACAAGTTTGGAAATAAAAATGATCTTACATAATTTTATAAAATTACGTAATTGTAAAATTAAAAAAAAAAAAGAAACATTTGTAATCTACGATTCATAATTTATCAAGTATTATTCATATTATTGCGCGAATGATCTCTAATTTCATTTTTTTAAATACAACGCGAAAAATAAGTTATAAATACTAAATTATTCTTAACTGGTCAAATTATATAGACACATGCTATTACATATACGTGGCAGTAGTCATTAATTAACTTGAAGATAACACTTCCGGGTTACAAATATGTCGATCTTTCAATTACATACTTCAATCAATTTCATTATAATTCTCAAGTGGGTTAAAGTGATGATAATTTAAAATATTAGACGTATATTACACGAAATTAAAATAAGTTTTATTTCCTGTGATGTTTAAATATTTTATTACGCGCATTACTATCTTTATTTTGCTCTAATCAATAGAAATAGAAATTATCAATAACGTTAAAATATATTTATAATAATTACCAAAGCAATTATGATTTTTTAATTTTACTTTTATTTAAAAAAAAAAAAAA